GCTGTAGGGAAGGAAAGACAATCTTTTCATCAGGAGCAGTTCCTGGGAAAAGCAGGAAGTTCTCCTAGTGACACAGGCTGGGTGCGTACGCTTGGTCAGAGGATGCCACACAGCTGGGCGGCTGCTCTCCATTTGGCTGTGACACTTTGACCCTTTCTTTTTCGAAGGTGAGTACCTGAACACCTAGCCCCATGATTAAATATTGACTGAGGGCTGGAGAAGTTCATTATTGCATGGGAGTGGAGCAGGTTCAGCTGAAAAGGTTGAGGAGGAATGGTTCCATAAAAATGATCCCTAGAAATACTCATGTCTAATTTTGGTTGGATCAGCAACCTGAACTGACTGGCTGACTCTGCAACTGCATCACTGCCTGCCATGGCACAGGGGAGAGCAGGGTGAACGTGACATAAGACACAACACAACCACAAATGTAGCTTTTGGGACAGGGAGTCCCCAGAATTAATATTCTAATTGTGAAGATTTGGGGTGAAATGGGAGCTCTCATAGACTTTGAAAGAGGTGAGCTCTCCTCAGCCCTTCAAAGTAAGGGTGCAGGTGACAAGCTCCCAGAAGAAGATTCATATGCTTGAATTTGCTGGAAATGAGTCTCCCTTGCTTTCTAGTCAAAAGTTAAGTGCCTGGGGCCATTTTCAGTATGTGCTGCTTGACTTTGTGTCCCGTTTCTCTCCAGCCATTGCAGACTGACTTCTTAGGCACTGAGCTTTACCTCAGTGTGTTCCCCAAGAAGCTATGAAGTACTTGGCTTGTTAAATTTGGGTTATGGGATGCTTATCTGATGTTATCAGATATTGAGGTATCTTACAAGGGCATGTAGTGACAGGACAAGGGGTAATGGCTTTAAACTGCAGGAGGGTAGATTTAGATTAGATGTTAGGAAGAAATTCCTTACTGTTAAGAGTGGTGAGGCACTGGAACAAGTTGCCCAGAGAAGTTGTGGATGCCCCCTCCCTGGAAGTGTTCAAGGCCAGGTTGGATGGCGCTTTGGGCAACCTGGTCTAGTGGAGGGTGTCCCTGCCCATGGCAGGGGGAGGTGGAACTAGATGATCTTTGAGGTCCTTTCCAACCCAAACCGTTCTATGATTCTATGAAATACATATATATGACAAGACTAAGAGATTGAGAGCAATAGCATAAGTGCAAAATTAATAATTTTTTCCTCTTACTCATTGCTTGCTTCCTCTACAAGCGTATGAATTACTTTCATGCTTATTGGCTAAAAACCACACTCATATGTAAGAATATTTAGCTAATACAATTCTTTCTTTGACAGTGATGGAGCTGGAAATATGCTAATTATTTGTGCACCAGGCAAATCCAAAATGTTGTGCTACTATTCTCCATTCCCCCCTCTCCTTTCTGCTAGCCCACATTGCTTCTGCCTTCTAGACCACAAAGTGCCACTAGTCTTTCCATCCTATTCCTAGAAGACAGCTCTTTAAGCTAGTTTTTTTTTCCTCAGAGTTCAGCTTCTTTCTTTTCCAAAAGCAAGTTTATGCAGTTACTGGGGTGGGAAGCAGAGGAAAGGAAAAGAGCAGGGTTCTGCTCCGCTGCTTTTGCCAGATAAGGCTCGCTCAGTGGTCTCTGAACAGGTCTGTGTTTACTGTCTTAACAGTCAGAGCATTTTTCCAGAACCAGAACAATGTAATCCAACAGGTCTGGAGTCTCTCACAGACAGGTTTTGGAGTCAGTGACTGGGGATGGGGCAACTGGAACAAAGATCCTGTTTTTCAACATAGAAATTTCAAGCTCCTTGTGGACTGTGGCAGAGAATGTCTTGATTGCCTTTGAATCAGTGATTTTTTTTCAGGACTGGAATTCAATAAAACCCCAATCACCTGAGACTGTGAAATGGTCACATAGGGACCACAGTTAGAAAATGGTTTCCCATGATTGCTGCTGCAAAAATCTATATATACGCAGGTCCAGGTCTTGGGACAAAAGCAAGCCGTAAAGTCTTGGTAGACATTTCGAGGCACACCTTCTGCTTTAGGACAGAGTGCCTGCCTTTCTTTGCAGAGAACAGCTGGCACACCCAAGGCCAAAGAGTGGATGGAGGTTTTACTTTAAGATATAACCCTTCTTCTCATGGGTTACAACACTTTAGCTTACATGAGTGAGTGCTAGTGTAAAGGGTAACGAGATTAATTCACGTTGTCAAAAAACATTCTTTACTACAGCTGAAGTATGAACAAGATCATTATCCTAAAGGTGAAGTCTTCTCCTCTGTCTACATGAAGAGATTTAAAAATGAAAACCAAACACCAACCCTATTGATCAAAACTACTGCCTTAGCTTTTTGCTTAGGCAACACAAAATGTTATGCATCCAATGGCTTCACACAATGTAGTCACTTTTAATCAAGCTCTGTTATTTGCCTTAAGAAATATATTCATTAGAATTGAAAAAAAAGAAATTGAGTTTGAGTGGCACTCAGTCCACTTATCCGTCATCCCCTTGGGTACAGACATTATAAGCTTTAAAGGTAATCTTCATCCTACTGAACTTTGCAGGAGTTAGAAATTATAATTCCAGTATCTTTTAAGGGATTGGACCTCAGCCTTGCAGCTGAAAGCATAGGAATGATGTAAATGAATAGCATGATTAGCTAATACTCACTAAATATTTAACTAGCCACTGAAATGCTGCTCAGGGCATGCATATGTTTCTTCCCCCTTTTCCAGGTTTTAAAAAAAAAAAAAAGGTTTAAAAAGCCACCTTACCAGCTTATGGACCTGGGGGTCCTGGTGGGTACGAAGCTGAACATGAGCCAGGAGCATGCCCTGGCTGGACATAACACATCCAAGGAGTGTTAGCAGCAGGGGGAGGGAGGTGATACTTCCCCTCTACTGGGGAAGCCTCACCGGGAGTGCTGGGTCCAGTTCTGGGCTCCTTCATACAAGAGACACAGACATGCTAGAGAGAGGCCAGTGAAGGCCCATGAAGATGAAGGGACTGGAGAATCTCTCCTGAGGAAAGGCTGAGAGCGCCTCTAGAGTACAGGACTAAAAGCTATACAGTCCTGCTGCTTGTCATCTTCACTACTGCCACCTATCCTTCAGCCTGTCAAAGGCCTTTGGCTACAGAAGAAAGAGCAAGACAGCACATAGTGAAAGGGAAAGGAGGATTAAGCCTCACTCCTGTCCCCTGACACTTGTAAGAGAACTGAAAATTACTTATTACAGATACTGATTTTTCCAAACCTTTTTCTAACTTCTTATGAGCTGTTTTAAGTC